CCCCATTATTGAATGAGGATATCGAATATTCAGTTTAAGAAGTGAATTAGGAGAGTTGGTGATCTCTTGGACAAATCACCAGAGGCGCCAAGATAGGTTCATCAAGAGCAGGAAGGAACAAGGGAAAACAGGAGGTTTTCCCCGTGGACCGACCCGTGACGAGATCCTATTCCCAGGCCCTCAACAACTTGGTATCAGAGCAAGGCGTCATGGGAGATCTGGAGTAGTTACCATCCAGGGTCCACGACCTCGAGCACCAACTCGTGGAGACCAGCTCCGAAGTCCGTGAAATCAAAGACGAAGTGAGGGAGCTGGGACGCCTGATGGAGCTATTCCTTTCTAGCAGGGAAGGGAACTCTGAAGGAGGGACAGCCGCTAACGGCCGCCGACCAGATCTGCCAGAGTCTTCCGGCGAACAGCAGTCCGTTAGCCAAAGAACCGCAGTCATCCCCAAGTACAGCAGGCTAGAATTCCCGTCGTACAACGGCAACGGAGACCCCTTAGGCTGGTTGTATAGCTACGAGCAGTTTTTTCGGAATCAACGGACAGATGACCGGGATAAGGTAAGTCTAGCCGCCTTTCACTTAACAGAGGAAACACAACTTTGGTTTTATCGGTTAGAGCAAGAAGAACCTGGGCTCAGTTGGCCCCAGTTTAAGTCCTATTGCCTTCTTAGGTTCGGACCCCCACTGACCAGCAACCCTCTGAGCGAGCTGATTAACCTTAAACAGACCGGCACAGTGGCTGAATACCAGCAACAGTTCCAAACCCTCCTCGCAAGGGCATCCTCCGTGCGACCCGACCAGCAAGTGGATATGTTCACGGCAGAACTATCAGAATCCCTGCGGGTGGATGTCGAGATGCAGAATCCCCCAAATTTGGTCACAGCCATGAACTTAGCCTGCGCGTTCGAGCGCAAGCTGCAGCTCAGCCGCGGAATTTTTAATGTGGATCGTCCACCAAACTCATGGGTACCCCCAAGATCAGCAGCAACGACCTCCTCTTTTGCTACCAGCCGGGAACTGAAATCTCCCACAACCACCGCCTCTAGACCAGTGACAAGTACTGGTAGTAACATGGCCGCTCCACCCATTAAGCGTCTGACCAGGGCAGAAATGGCAGAACGCCGAGCGAGAGGCCAATGTTTCAACWGTGATGACCTCTACTCGGCAGGACATAGATGCAAGAGGCTTTTTTGCCTCCTCATCGATGAACAAGAGGAGGAGGAAGAAGAACCCGTCATATTCGAGCCAGAGATCTCTCTCCATGCGATCACCGGTATTAAAACCTCTCAGACCATGCAGTTACAGGCACAGATAGCAGGTCAACCGGTTCGCATTCTCGTCGATTCAGGGAGCACACACAACTTCATAAGTGAACATGCCGCCATTCAGTTAAAACTGCCAATGGAACTCCGACCGCGACTACAGGTAGCCGTCGCAAATGGTGAAAGAGTTCACAGTCCAGGAATTTGTAAGGACGTGCCGATACAGGTCAATTCTGAACTGTTTCTTGCTAATTTGTTTGTACTCTCATTGGATGGGTTCGATATTGTTCTTGGGGTCAAGTGGTTAATCACACTAGGACCGATTTTGTGGGACTTCAGCGCACTCACAATGACCCTCCACCTAAATGGAAGGCAAGTTTCATGGCACGGTTGCAGGGTTAAAGAAAAGACACCACAGGTCCATGCACTTCAGACAGAACCGRCAGYCATGGAAAAACTTCTCGCCGAGTTTTCAGATCTGTTCCAGGAACCCAAGGGACTCCCTCCTCCCCGAGCTTGCGACCATCGTATTCCTTTGGTGGCAGGTTCAGCACCAGTCATTGTCCGGCCTTATCGCTACCCTCACTTACAAAAGGACGAGATAGAAAAACAGTGTATAGAGATGCTGAACCAAGGAATCATACGCAAAAGTCACTCCCCCTTCTCTTTGCCGGTTCTGTTGGTGGCAAAGCAGGATGGAACGTGGAGGTTCTGTGTTGACTATAGAGAACTCAATGACCGCACGATCAAAGATAAGTTCCCTATTCCCGTTGTGGACGAACTGCTGAACGAGTTGCATGGTGCTCAATATTTCTCTAAGTTGGACCTCAGGTCCGGGTATTTCCAGGTTCGCATGGCTCCCGATGACGTGAAGAAGACTGCCTTTCGCACTCACCATGGCCACTTCGAATTTTTAGTCATGCCATTCGGACTCTCCAACGCCCCATCCACATTTCAGTCATTAATGAACGAGGTATTTCAGCCCCATCTACGCAAATTTGTTTTAGTTTTCTTTGATGATATCCTCGTTTACAGCAAATCATGGGTAGAGCATGTCCACCATCTGCGGACCGTTTTCGAGCTCCTACACCAACACAAATTATTCCTCAAACGGTCCAAGTGCTCCTTCGGAGAGCGACAGGTTCTTTATCTCGGTCACGTCATCCATGGGCAGGGTGTGACAGTTGATAGTTCCAAAATTCATGCTATAAAAGAATGGCCCAAGCTTCAATCAGCCAAGGCCTTACGCGGGTTCCTCGGATTAACGGGTTACTACCGCAAATTTGTACAGAACTATGGATTGTTGGCAGCCCCGTTAACTAACCTGTTAAAGAAAAATTCCTTCCAGTGGGACGACGCAGCCAATGAAGCTTTCCTGACACTGAGAAATGCCCTATCTTCCACCCCTGTCTTGCAATTACCAAATTTCGCCCTCGAATTTACAGTCAAGTGTGATGCCTCCAGAGTAGGTATCGGGGCCGTATTACAACAGCAAGGGCACCCGATTGCTTTCTTCAGCTACAGACTGGCCGATCGGCATCTGAAGCTTCCAGCCTATGAGCGCGAACTAATTGGCCTAGCCCGAACCGTCCAGCACTAGAGGCCATATTTGTGGGGGCGGTCGTTCGTCATCAAAACTGATCATTACAGCCTCAAATACCTATTAGAGCAACGTCTCACCACTTCCCCTCAGCAGCATTGGGTTAGCAAACTGCTCGGGTTTGACTTCCAGGTGAAATATAAGGCGGGATCCTCAAATCGCGCAGCTGATGCCTTGTCTAGGCGAGATGAAGACGTGATGGCTCTGTGTAGCATTTCCCAACCCAGGATCTCTCTGTTTGACGACATTAAGAAGGCAGCACCACAGTCCCCAGAATGGTCGCTCTTGGTCCAGAAGATCCAGTCCGGCACTGCCGACCCCAATTGGTCACTTCAAGACGGGTTGGGACGAGTTCATCTTCCACCAGACTCCCCGTTGATTCCCACCATCATCACCAGCTTCCATAACTCCACCCATGAAGGCGTTCAAAAAACGCTACACCGCGTCCGGGCTGATTTCCATTGGCGAGGTATGAAGACTTCTATTCGAGATTTTGTCCATAATTGCTCCACGTGCCAACAACACAAATGGGAAAACCTACACCCGGCAGGCCTCCTTCAGCCCCTTTCCATCCCGACACAGATCTGRRCCRACATCTCCATRGACTTCATTGAGGGACTACCCAAGGTAGGTGGCAAATCAGTTCTCTTCGTGGTAGTCAATCACTTCTCTAAATACGCCCACTTCATTCCTCTATCACACCCGTACAGTGCCACTTCAGTTGCCCTCGCCTTCTTTACACATGTTTTTCGCTTACACGGGTTACCAGAATCCATCGTCAGCGATAGGGACCCGATTTTCACTAGTGCCTTCTAGAAAGAGTTATTCCGGCTACACGACACCACCCTGGCCTACTCATCAGCTTACCGGCCACAAACCGACGGTCAGACGGAAGTGGTCAACCGCACAATCGAGATGTATCTCCGATGTTTCGTAGGCGATCAACCACGACGGTGGGTGGATTGGCTCCCTTGGGCCGAGTACTGCTACAACACAGCCTACCATTCCTCCCTCAGCATGACTCCCTTTCGCGTTGTTTATGGCCGGGATCCCCCCCGCTTGCTGTCCTACGAGCCCGGTTCTACTCGTTTGGAAGCAATTGATCACTCCTTACAAGAACATGACGCCCTCCTAGCCGATGTCCGCCTCCGCTTACAGCAGGCCCAGCTCTACATGAAGCTCCACTATGACAAGCACCACCGGGAACTGTCGTTTGATCCAGGACAATTTGTTTGGTTGAAACTCCAGCCCTACCGGCAACACTCCTTGCGCCACAGGGCTGCCCCGAAGCTGGCCCCTAAGTTCTATGGGCCCTACAAGGTTCTACGACGGATTGGCAGTGTGGCCTAGCAACTGGAATTGCCAGAGACCAGCCAGATTCATAATGTCTTCCACATCTCCTTGCTGAAGCCATTTACGGGTGTTCCCCCCGACCGAGTTCCCTCACTGCCACCCTTGAAAGATGGCAAGCTGGTTCCCCAACCTAAAGCTGGCAGTGTGGCCTAGCAGCTGGAATTGCCAGAGACCAGCCAGATTCATAATGTCTTCCACATCTCCTTGTTGAAGCCATTTACGGGTGTTCCCCCGGACCAAGTTCCCTCCCTGCCACCCTTGAAAGATGGCAAGTTGGTTCCCCAACCTAAAGTTGTCACCCGCTCTCGTTTCAATCGTGGAATCCTTGAAGTCTTGGTGGAATGGTGTAATTTACCATCGGCCGAAGCCACATGGATCCCATTGGCAGAATTCCACGCCACATATCCAGAGTTCGAGCTTGAGGACAAGCTCATTGTCCAGGAGGGGAGTAATGTTATGGACGCATTCCTCGGGAAGATGTACCATCGCCGCCGGCAGGAACAGGCACCTGACCCACCGCCAGCAGCAGCAGTGATTCAATGATTCTCATCCTACCCAGTTCAGCAACAGCAGCCTTATCTAGTTTAGATTAGATTATCTTGCTTGTTCTTATCTTATTCTATTGCTCTTATCTTATCTTGTTAGTAGCTTATCAGATTAGGATTTGCTTATCTTATCCTTAGCAAGATAGAACTAGAAGTCTCCCTATTCAGCAAGGAGACTCCCTTTGATTAGGACTCTTGTAATCTCCTATTTAAGGAGACCCCATTATTAAATGAGGATATCGAATATTCAGTTTAAGAAGTGAGTTAGGAGAGTTGGTGATCTCTTGGACAAATCACCAGAGGCGCCAAGATAGGTTCATCAAGAGTAGGAAGGAACAAGGGAAAACAGGAGGTTTTCCCCGTGGACCGACCCGTGACGAGATCCTATTCCCGGGCCCTCAACATATTGGTCATTTACTCTGGATCTATTGGCCAAGGGAACTCAATAAAGGCCAAGTTAATGGCAAAACTACATGGACTTAAGTTAGGGAAGGTTCTCAATTATGCAAGCATCATTGTAGGAGAATCAAGGACCATGATTGGATCATTGGATGGATTAAATATAACAGGCCACGGATCATGGAGATGCAGGCATAACTAAAGGGAGAAAAAGTTTAGCAAGAGAGCCGAGAGCAACATTCACATGGATCCAGAGATCAGCAAACAAGATCGCAGATGCATTAGCAAGACAAGGAATCTCTATGACTAAAAAGTATTGGGGAACCATGAAAACCAAAGAATAAGTACTAGTTTAATTGAGAAAAGGGATTGAGGTGTGCTATAAAAGATAGCATGAGGGGTGCTAGGAACAATCCTTTTTTTATAGATACTAGGCACAATCCATTTGTAAATAATCATTCTTTTACCACAAATTAATAAAATCATTGAAAGTTACCAATTAAAAAATTCCACAATTTTAGCCTGAAGAGAAAGGTTGACAAAAAGACTTATAAATGATAATACCATAAAAACTATAAAGTTAACTCACACAAGAACTTTGCTGTCCCCCAGATGACTTTGTCGTACCAAATGTTGAAACTGAAGGACCCAAATTGGATGTTGGTTTAACAGGAAGAGAAGTACATCTTTTCCAAGAGAATTCTGCATTGGAATTGACAAGTATAGGGCCCTCAGGAGCAATCTTGGGTTCTGAGTTGAGGAGAGATCTTCTCTCACCATCAGGTACAGTTGCTTTCTTGAAGCTTAGCCCTCGCAAGAAGCCTGCTGGGGATGAACTACCTTTTGGCAAACTTTGGGACTGTATTAGACCCTTTCCACTACAGCTATTCCCAAAACTTACTGGTATAGAGGGTACTTGAATTAAGAGATCTGTGTGTTTCCCACTGTATCCTGAACATGTAACTTCTTCCTTCTTGGGATCCATGATTTGGTGACCTTCCTGCACATAATGAGTGACTTTGGGATTACCTCTAACCATATGGTCCTTGAAATTAATAGAAAGATGTCATATGAACTGGTCAAGAGTCAAGATAGAACATGAATTCAAAAACCAAACTTATATGCATGATTACCAGGAGTAGACCTAGTTCTATTTCCAACAAATGGAATAATACTAGAGACCTAAAGAGAGAAAGCCACAAGTTCATAAAATAGACACCAAGAGCCAAGAAGAGATTCATACACACAGACACATGTGCATGTGCATAGTTGCACACACATAGGGAGACTATATACCTTATAAAAGAGATTATTCCCAAACTAAAGTTAGATAGCCACCTATTTCACATTTGTTACCAATAAGTTTAGCAGACACCAAAAAGTATGATCCAGTGTTTTAAAAGCACAAGGGCCATTTTGCGCCTTAGGCGCAAGGCAAGGTGCGTGCCTTTTTGAAGCAAAGCGCAAAAATGCAAAATATGCTACAAATCCAAAAAAACAAATAATGCCAAAAAAACAAGAAATGAAAGATATTAAAAATATTAAACACGTTATTAATTAAAAATATAAACCTAAATTTTAAAATAAATGTTTTAAAAAAACTATTATCTCAAAGTAAAATACATAAACATAACACGTAAAACATATTTGAAGTGAAAATTTAAAAATAAAATCAAGCATATCATTATGCATTCCTGAGACCAAGGCGAGGTGCATACCCTAAAATGTGCATCGCTTAAAGACATGTTCTCACACTTGTCAGCCTGAGATTTTAATCATAAACCAAAAAGTTCTAGCAAAAGCATATTAACAGGTAGGGGTGAGCAAGATAAACCAAACCGAACCGATGAGACCAAACCGAAAATTCCGGTTAACCAAACCAGTCAGTTTGGTTTTGGTTCGGTATTTTTAAAAAAACGAAGGTACTGGTTCGGTTTCGGTTAACCAATATATAAAACCAGTGGTTAACCACTTATCAGTATACATATATTTCTATATATTATATGTATATTTATGTATATTATATTTATATATTTGTTATATGTATTTTATATTTTCTATGTATTATAAATTAATAAATATGCATTATATCTATAATTATATGTTATATATTATATTATTTATTATTTAAAATATAATATTTTATATATATTTCTAGTTTTTTATTATATATTTATTTATAATATATACTATAAATATAAAAAACCAACAGTTAACCAAAACAGTCAATCATTTAATCGATTGGCTTCAGTTTGATTTCGGTTACTAGTTTTCCAGAAACCGATAGTACCGGTTCGGTTTCAAAAATAGGCCCACAGTTCAATTGATCGAACCGTGAGCACCCCTATTAACAGGAAAACATCAAATGAAGGAGTTGGTGGAATCTTCAAAGCATAATCTAAAACAATGTATAACAAGAAGCTAACTGAATTGACAGTCCTCATTTTACTCATAAAGAACAATCTCCATCATTTTAGCTCGAAGAATGATTAACATCAATTAATATGAGATCGAACTGAATTCTACCAGCGACAAGATCAAAAGAACTATTGCTAAATATGTAAAATAGTACAAGCATTCTTCATATAGTGTGGGTAGAAAAACCAACATAATTAATAGATAATCAGCACATACAAAGTTACACCAGAAATCCTAAATCCCCAGTATACAGCTTCCCCGCTCTACTCCAATTGCTAGACTATTGGTGAGGAGGATGTTGGCTGACCTCCAAACCTAAACACATATTATACGCTTCTATATTTAAAATCTGTTTATTTATTTATATTACTATCACTGCTTTTTTCGTGGGATGCTTTGTGAACTTTCCTGGAGCTTAGGTAGTTAGGTTATAGATAGATTGGAAATGCTTTTGTCAGGTTGCTATGCTGTGAATCGAACAAAATTATGCATTGGCATTTTAGCTTAGAGAGGAAGCATCCAAATAACCCATTTTCATCTCTCTCTCTCCCTCTCTATCTATCTATCTCTATATATATATATATAGATATATATATATATAAGCTGCAGCACTGCATTTGTGTCCTGGACCTCTCATAGGCAGAAATATGTGGTTAAGCATGTTTTGGTGAATTCTTAGTTTTTGTAATAGTTTAGACTTGCGCCCATGGAATTGGCTTTCAGAAGAAAATTTGTCTGCGTTATTGACATTCAGTACCTGATTAGAATGTCTGTGTTGCAAGAACTTTCTCAAAACTGTGTGTTTGAGTGCTGATTGATATTTTGTCGTTTCAGACTTCCCATTGAAACAATAAAAAGCTGAAGGTGGGTACTTTTTTCACTCCTAGTTATCCTTTCGAGGTGTAATTACTTTTAAGTACTTGTGAGGCATCTTTTCTTTTCTCTTTTCCTTTTTTTAAGAAATGAAATTCATATAGTGTTGACAAGTCTGACCTGGTGGAGGGGTATTTTCTTATTATGTACCTGTATATTCAACTAGTAGGCATAGGTTTCTCTTTGGATCTTGAAAAAACCTGAAATGAAAGGGGACTCTATGGTATTGATAGTGGATGAGGCTCCATTCTGATTTCTTTGGATTCTAAGAGACTACATAAGGGAGAGAAAAACATTGTCTCGCATGCATACAATATACATTTAAGTTTTGAATGAAAGGCTTATCCTAATTGTTATGAGCTTTCTTTTTTTTTTTTAGTAAAGATTTGGCATGCGATTCAAACATTTCAAACAACCCATCTAAATCTCTCAAACACCGATGGAATACAACTCCACTAGAAACATTTCCATCAAGTGATAACTGATAAGGGCGACATTCTAAAATGTAAGACAAGTAGACAACTCTATGTTTTCCTTGTTTCTTTCAAGCGGAAGCCCACTGATTTCAACTTAATTGTAAAGTTCAACCCACCCATCCACCCACTCCCACCAAACAGGCATAGTCGCATAGACGTCAACATAAGGAACAAAAAAGGAAAAACAAATTAAAAGAAAAAGGTCTCGATTAAGCATAGAATCAACTAAAATGGCGCTCTCCAGGAGGTGCATTCTTTCGAAAGCAGAAAATGAGCTTCAATCATACGCTACAACCTTAAAAACAAACACCGAAAATTAAAAAAAGAAAAGGTTGAGCGGCTTACCAATACAACTCCCAGCAATCAGAACTAAGAAATTTAATCTTGGAATATTGAAACCCGTAGAGCATTAAGACAATGGATTAAACATGCGGAACCGATCAAAAAGACAGATTGAACATACGGAAATACCTTTTGAGAGCTTTCTTCTCCTCCATTAGAGGCCACCTCGTTCTGCATTCTCACTCCCAAAGCACAATGAGTAGAGTCTACTACTACCATCTGTCAGTGAAAGACTGAACTCTTCTAATTGTCTAATACGAAAGAAGAATTGAAGAAAGCTGTAGGAAGGAAATTGACGAATGGTCTTCGCTGGGTCGTGTTGCAATGCAACCGGGTCATCATAAAAGCTGCCGCGTTTTCTGAGACTTTTTGTACTCTCTCGGTGAGTGGGACCCCTCTCCCTTTGTAGGAAGAAAGCTGTAGGAAGGAAATCTAACTGCAGCCGCATATTAGGAACATCTCCCTTTGTCATTGATGATAAGATGCTCCTAATGTGCGGCTGCAGTAGCAAGTTACGACGAATATTGTTCAAATAGAGGAGATCAAATCAGCCCCACCAAATTGCCCCCATAACGTCCCACAGTACATCCCGCTGTGTATTGTGAACATCCCCGCATGGAGGGTGACCCAGAATTAGAAATCAAGACTCGCCCAAGAGTGGGGCCCGTCTTTCAGAGAGTAGCCAAAATCAGATGGCTGGCATGGCAGATGTTACCGCTGGAGTCCATCTAACGGTGGGCCCTTGATCCCTGAATTACGGTAAACGTGTAAAGTGATGAGGGGCCCAGACCCATCTACCATCCTACCTGTTTGTGTCCCCAGAGAGAGGCCCAGATCCAAGTACTCCTCGAGTTCGAGAGACCTGTGAGGAGCAGATTCCGTTCCCGAGTTCGAATCTATTCGTCACAGAGCGCGCGCCTCACACCGATTTCAGCCGTACCATAAATAAAAATTTACAAGCACGGAGATGTTTCAGATGTACGGTTAAAACTTGCTGTGGTCTGTGAGGTCGGTGTGAACGGGCTCAGTGAGGAGCAGATCCGAACTCATTCCAAAGTCCAAACAAAACTCCAGTTGGAGTGTCTCATGAGACATGATTGCCTGTCGTGTTTGTTCCCTACGCCACCCCGTATCGATATGCTACGTATATCTTTTCTGTTGATGGCGATGGTCAAAGTTTGACCCACTTTCCGATCAAAATACTTCCAGTCGGTTGATTCAAACGACTACATAATAACAGTAGGTCCTACCAACCAAAATGGAAGTACGTCTCTATTTTTTTTAAATTGCAGTCTCCCTCTACTTACTAGGTCATAACACCGACCTTGAGCCACATCCCAATATCTCATCGTGTATTGAGAATATCTCTCATAATAATATCATAATTACGGGGATCCGACAGTATGCGGCTGGAACATGCCGAAGGAATTGGGATCTGCACTTCACACAGGCGGAGATATTCTCAATGTACAATAGAATGTGGAGACCGGATCTGCTGTTCACACCTGGCGCCTCACGCACATGGGAACATCTCCCATAATGATTAGTTATTATTTACGGGAGATGCTCCCAATGCGCGGTAGATGTGCCTATGAGGCGCCCATTTGCGATGAACAGATCCCGGCTCTGGGATGTGCCTATGAGCTCAGTGTGAGGCACCATGTGTAAGGAGCAGATGCGGTCTTGCTAGAAAGTCGGTGTAATGAACGCTCTATGAGAGCAATCGAAGATAACCCAACTTACTTCCAATATGATATGTGATTATGATACATGTATTATACATGTGTTAGGCGGTTAGCCCATTTTATATTCTTGGAAATAAGGTGGCGTTTGATTGCACTTTTCAGACGTTTGAATTTGAAAATGTTGTTTTTCAAATGTCACATTCGTTTGGTATGCCCTCTTATTACTGATCTGGAATCCAATTTCAGATCTTAATTCGTAAGAAGTGGGGTGGGTCCTTAATGCGCTTAGATATAATTTATATGTGCATAAAAGACATTAGTATCCTTACAAAAACTTTAATGACATGGTTTGTCCCTCATATAACTCGAAATTTTAGGTCATTTGAATCCTCTCAACGACCTGAATAATATCCACCGTTGTCAAGCTCTCTTCGAACCCTCTTAGCAACCTGAACAAGCTGCGGCGGCTCTCTCTCTCTTATCTTCCCGCCACCGTTATTGCAAGTTGTAGCGACGGTTCTCTCTCTCTCTCTCTCTCTTTCTAATTACTATTGTTATTATTAATTATAAATTATTTTTACTAATTAATAATTATTTTAATATTTTTATTAAACATTAATTATTTTTTATTATTTTTACTTGTGTTCTTTATTAATTATTAATTATTTGTATTAACTAGTAATTTTTAATTATTTCATTATTTTTTTAAAATTATTTTAATTTTTACTTATGTAAATTACTAATTAGTAATTATTAATTATTTTAATATTTTTATAGTCATTCATTATTTTTTAAAATTTAGTTGTTTCATTTATTAATTAGTAATTTTTAATTATTAATTATTCATTTATTATTATTTTTTGGATTGTTTCAATGTTATTTTGAGGTTGAAAATTATTTTTTATGACATAATGTAAATTGAACTCAACATTTCCAAATAATATGTTATAGGGGTAAAATAATAAAATCACTAAATTTCAGATGGTAAAGGGTTGATCAGAGCCTCCAAAAAGTATAAAAGCATATATGCTTATTTTCATATTTCAAACAAAGAAAATATCTTTTTAACTTTTCATATCTGAAATTTTAGATTTATCAAATGCCACCAAAATCTTTGTTCAATGAATTAGGGTTGTACACAGGTCGGGTTAGGGCGGTTTCGGTCAGTTTCGGTTTTGCTCCTGTAGTCAAACCTTATTTCTGAAACTTGTCTCACCTTTGGTCCAGTGTCAACCTTGCTAACCCCTATTCCACTCAAAAAGCTTTTGTATTCAATAAGACAAAAGACATAACTGTTTTATAGAGGACAAAAGTTATCAATATTCAATAAGACAATAAAATAGAAAGTCAAACTGTTTTATATAAAGAAGGCTGAAACATTTATATTTAGATAAACTTTCTAAGTTCTAATCTAGGTAAAAGAGGACACCTAATTCTAATTGTAATTGCCTAATGTGTTGTCTATTTGGTGTAAAAGACTATAGAAACTATGATAGATATAATTTAGTTAAGTAGGAACTATAATATAGGGTTGTTCTAGTTCTAGTAGAAGATTAGTTAAGTAGGAAACTATGAACTACCGAACTAATAGAAGACTAGTTAAGTAGGAAGACTAGTTCGGGTCGGTTTCGGTTTTTACACAAAAAAAATGAAACCGACCCGATATTCCGATTTATAAATTTGCCCAACTCGAAACCGACCGGTGTTGATGAAAACCCGGCCGACTCGGGTTGGGTCGGTCCGGATTGGTCAGTTTGGTCGGGTTGGGCCTTCTTATGAACAACCCTACAATGAATAAATGAAATATGCACAATGGTTTAGATCTGGCCTGGGACAGGGTGGACCAGGTCCTAACTGAAAGAAAACTATGTAAACCCAATCTCAAACCAAACCCTCCAAGGTCCACAATACTAAACCTAGGACTGAACCCCTTATCAATTAGGTTAATTGAGTATTGATCATCAAACCTAATTATATTTAATTTACTATAATATAATAAATTTAAATTTCATTTTGTTTACATGTTAACTAGTGGGGACCCATGCGATGCACAGGAAATCTAAAATATTTAATAATTTGATTTACTATTAATTAATAATCAATTTTTTTTGTTAATTATCTAAAAGTATTCAAAGTTATTGTTAATAATTAAAACTTTAAAAATTGTACTTTTCATTTGATGTTTATTTACAGAAAATAATTATTATTAATTTAATATGAATAAATACTTTTTAATAAATTTAGTTTTATTAATAATTTGTAGTAATTTTAATAATTGTTATTATTTTTAAATGAATTTTTTATTAACTTTAAGTAAATAAAAATAATTACAAAAGATAACATTTTTATTAATTTCACTAATAATTAACAATTAAATAGGAATGACAATGGGGTGGGTTTAGGGCAGGGCACCCCACCCCTATCCTATCCCCAGTGTTAGGCGGGTTTAGGGCAAGGCAACCACTCCCCAAATGTCGGGCGAGTTTAAGGGCAAGGCACCCCCACTACTCATCAATGATGGAGAATCCTCGAATTTCCCACCTCGTCCCCAGTATTAGGCGGGTTCAAGTATAGGTCTAAATCGGGTCGTGCTAGGCCGGCACGACACGATCCACATGTGGACCGCACAAAGTGTGGGTTGTACCATGTTGGCCCACAGGGCATCTTAGGTCATGCCTCCCTCCCCTAGGATAATTTAGAAGGCCAGTTCGGCACAACCCACGGCTTAAACCCACACGGGCCCGTGGACCAAGCCAAGCTATGAGAGGTCCATTTAAAAAAAATAATAATAAAAAAAGATGATTAAATTTTTATTTCATATGATTTTTTTTATGTATACAATTGTTTATATATACAATTTGACCTATTCATGGGCCAGGTAGCCCAAAGTCCTGACCTGGCTTGACCCGTTATTTTTCAGGCTTCGACAAAATTTCAGGCCCGTAGACTCGAGTTCGAGCTTTCTTAAATAAGCCCGACCCGATACTATTACATATATAAAAAGTACTTATGTTATATATAATAAATATAATATATACATATGCTTCTTAAATTAGTAATAAATATCAATTTACTATTAGGAAACATAAATTAGTTTATTAATTTATTAAATTATTACTAAATTAACATAATATTAGTTTATGAAAGTATACTAAAAATAAGACATTTTGCGTATAGACTGGACTTCGGACTTTATATAAGGGCTGGGCTTGGACTCAAGATCTAGGCCCGATGGTTGGGCCGTGCTTGGGCTCGTGCTTGCACATTTTTTGTTGATAAAGAGGCCCGTTGTTAATTATAAAACTATGATTTTTTATCTAATTCTAGTGTAGTATAAAAATATATATAACATTTCTCTCTATATATATATTAATATAAAATTTGTTATTTAAATATTATATAATAATATTGAACATATATGTATATAACTTCAAAGTTGAACTTAATCATTGGACTCCAAAAGTTTGATACCCAATTAGACTTCGAATTGGATTATCCTTGATAATGTGTGTGCATGGTGCATATTTCAACTAGACTTAAAAGAAAATAGTTGCTTAAGCTTGCAGATTTATAGATCTATAGTTGCTTAAGTTATAAATGATTTGTTACTTTTTATTAATTATTAAAATATTGTTATCTATTAATATATTGTAATTA